CAGGGCCCGGACGGCCACCGAGCTCGCCGTCGGCGCCGCCTCTTCCCGCTGCGTGATGCTAAGAACTGCGTGTGAAGTGTATAGCTAGCTTGGGTGTACCTTTTAAGAATTTTGTAAACCGTTTTGTCTGTCTTTTGTTACTGTTCTATGGTGCCAAGTATTCTACATAAACAATAATATCATGGGAGAAATAAACATAGCCTAGTCCGCTTCCACTAGAAACTGCTTTTAACACGGGCTGCACGTAAAAACATGAAGAGAAACAGCCGTACACGTCCTCGGTTGCTCAGCTGCAGACACCGTGTCCTAACCCCGCCGCCAACCTTCCTAGCACTAAGTACAGCATGACGCGGCGCCGGCGAAGCCTGTGGATGAAGCACAAGCGTATGTTTTATTGACTCGCTTTCGAACACTACAGAACTCCCGGGCTGGGAGAAAGGCCTCAGGCAGCTAGACGCCCGCGTTTGGTGAATCACTACCGAGTGAGGACTGGGCGTCGGCTGGCCGCACCTGCTCCGCACAGCACCGTCGGGGTCAGCGTTGCGGCCACTCCGCTCTCGCTCCCTCGGGGGGCCTCCGGCGACTCTGCCTCTCGGGGCTTCAGCGGGTGGGCACTGCGGAGGCCGTAAGAGATGACCGCTCCAGTTCCTAAGCAATAAAATTGATCGTGGTGAAAACAGTTCTGCCTTGGCTTTGTTTTTCTCCCTTCCGGTGTCCCAGCCCCTTTGAAATGCTAAGTGACAGGACTGTGCCCCTGTGTGGGCTATTCCAGATCAGGCTCATTAGGGATCCGAGCTTCCCTTCTCACAAAACTCAGCCATTAAGAGCAGAAAAATAACGGTGGGCGTTTTCAGTGCCGTGGGGGGGGCTCACCCGCAGCATTCTCAACGAGGCTGTGCGCGCACAGCTCCCCTCAACGCTTTAAAACTGGACGTTCCTTCGCTCTTAATTGAGCTGAGAGAATAGTTGTCTCAGAAATAAAATAAATTTTCGTACTGCCCCCTTAAAGAGAGCACCAGGCAGCGGTTCCAACGAAATGTCTGGGGTGGTTTTGTTTTTAATGGATGGTACAGCCATGTGGCAAAAAAAAATAAAGAAAACCCAAAACTTGAGCTTTTTAGTTTTAATGTTTTCAAAGCCGCCACCCAAGGGCACGCTTACAGTAGTAGTATCATTTATACTTAATTTTTAAAACTAAAACCACACGTGCCCATTCAGATGACACGTCTGGCTCAGACCATGGGCTCGTTCACCGGGACACGACTGGGGTGGTGGCCACGGGCCAGCCCTTGGGGCACGCGCGGTGAGGGGACCCGCGCGGCG